TATGTATATATATTCTTTTATTTTCCTTAAATCTTCATTGACTTAGTTATTTCATGTTTCTGTGCATAGGAATTTTCTTTAAAAGTTTTATTTATGATTTTCACCTTGAAGGTAAAGAAAAAGAGAGAGTGAGAATCAAAGTTATTTATATCTTTTTAAGAAAGTAAAAGATTTACTTACAAAAATTTGATACATTTGTTAAGTATTATGAGCTATACTATTTTACTATCAAAGCAATGAAAAACAAAATGAGCAGTAAAACAAAAGCTCAAAGTCTGACAAGGGCCAAGGGAAATAAAATAAGGAAACCAAAAGCCAAAATGTGTACTTCAAAAAACACACCTTCTTCCCTTTGAAGTAAGTCTAGATCTGATTCAGTTTCTAGCTTTCCTGTGGACATATGCAAAAATAGAGGTCCAACTCAGTCAAATATTGGCCAGGGGCTCCTACATTGCATCCTTTCAGTCATGCATTAATTTTCTAGCACTGCCATGATGAAGCCCAGCAAACTGGGTGGCTTAAACAACAGAAATTTACTTCTCCCAGTTCCAGGAACCAGAAGCCCAAGATCAAGACTGATTCAATTTCTAGTGAAGGCTCTGTTGCCGGTGTGTAGAATATCACCTTCTTGTTGTTGTCCTCACACAAAATGTAGGGATGGAGGGAAACAGAGACAGAAGAGTGATTATAAATACAGAGCCCTAATATGATAGGACTAGCTGGCATCTTTATAAGAAGAGATGAATCTAATCATATTAGGAATACTTCTAGGTCTTATTTCCAAATATAGTCATATTTAGGGTTAGGGCTTCAACATAGGAATTCTTAAAGGACACAATTTAGTAGAGAACAATCCCAATTTCTGCCTTCATGATTACATGCTCTTTTCTCGGTGTGTATGTCTGTCTTTGTGTCCAGGTAGTAACTTTTTATAAAGATTCCAGTCCTATTGAATTGGGAGTCCACATTAATCCTATCTAATGATTACATCAACAAATGATTGTATGTCAAAATAAGTGAAGGATTAAAATTTCCAAACTTGCCAAGGATGTAGTTCAGTGGTAGAACTTTTGCCTAGCATGTGTGAATCCTTGGGTTTGATCACCACACTACTCCCCCAGTTTTTCCAACACTTGAATTTGGTGGGGGATACAATTCAATCTACAACATATATGTATCCTTTTCTGGAGCCATGATATCCAATACTTTAGATGGTGTCAACAGATCTTGAGGGGAGATTTTGAGAGCAAGCAGTTATTTGGGAGTATAAGGATATAAATAGGAAAGCAGAAAAGTTCCCAAAGTTCCAAGATATTAGAGACTTTGATGGAAGGCATTTCAGTAGAGTGACGAAAAGACTTAATTCAATAAATTGGGCAGAAAAGGGTAAATAAGAAAGTGGAAATAGTGTATAATTGTCACAGGGAAAAGAGAAAATAAACTATTTGGATAAGGGTATAAAGTTAAGAGAAAATGCACGCACAGTTTTAAGACAAACTACCAAGGCAAATTTTTGAATTAATGGAAGTGATCTAGTAGATACTGATAGTAGTACATAGGACAGAGAGGAAAATAAGTGAGCATGTACATGACTAGCAAGGATAATGAGCACATGGCCTCTGATAGAAAAGGGACCCTAAGAAAAGAGAGAGAAGGTGACCATGTGAACAGATACAAGTGGGTTTATGGGCTTGATGACACAATTAGGTTTTTTTCACCTGAATATATTCATCCTACTAACAAAATACAAAATGGGGTCATCTGCAGAGTGGTGTTAGGGAGCAGAAGGAAATGGAGAGATTGGACTTTTGAGATGAAAGGTTATAACAACTTATTAGTGACTTTCTCCTTGCTGAGACACAATACCTTACACCCACATTTTAAAGGAGGAGAGGTTTACTTTGTTTCACAGTGTGTGCAGGTTTCACTCGACGTCAGTTGGCTCCAAGGCAGGATGGCATGGAGGAGGAACATCAGCTCATGGCCTGGCTTCAGGGAGCAGAGAGTGATCAAGGAAGGAGGAAGAGAGATCTTTCCAGGCCACACCCCAGTGATCCACCTCCCTGGATCGGGCTTCACCTCCCAACATCACATTTCTCTATAAACTCATCAGCAGACTAATCCATCGATGAGCATCACACCCCCATGATTCAATTATCTTCCCAAAGCCCCAAGCTATGAGCACATGAGGTGGTAGGGAATGTGGAGGATGATGCAGATATAAACCATAACTCTATTGTAACAAATCAGCACAAACTGGAGGCTAAAATGACATACATTTCTTCTCACAATTCTGGAGGCCAAATATCTAAAAGCAAATTGCTGACTGTACTTCCTCAGCCACCTCTCAGGAGTGTCCTTATGGGTCTTCTCTAGTTGTCGGAGGCTTTTGGTACCCATCACTTTGTGGCAGTATTTCCCTAATCTGCCTCTGCCTTCATATGGTATTCTTCTCTGGGCCTCAAATTTCCCTCTCTTATAAGGATATTCGACTTCAGTTATAGAGGCCACCCTACACTTTAGAACATCTCATCTTGGAATCTTTATACTTGCAACAAGTCTTTATTTTCAGAAAAACTCACACTTACAGGCAAGGCTTAATACATGGATATATCTTCATGGGCAACACTGTTCAACCAACTATAGAGGTTAATCATCTGTGCCAGCAAAGTAAAATAACTAGGGAAGTGTGGGAGTCATCTTTCTAGTGTGAAAAATACCTGAGACGAACAATTTAAAAAGAGGAGAGATTTGTTTTGGCTCGTGGTTTCAGTCCATGGTCTCTTGGCCTCCTTGCTTAGATTCTTTGGCAGTTCTCCAGTGGTGGGAGAATGTGATGAAACAGTACTATTCATCTGATGGTGGCTGAGAAGCAAAAAGAGAAAAGAAGTTGCATAACCTAAATGGCCTAAATTCTACCCAGGAGGTGTATGAATTTATAGGTCCTGCATCTCAGTAGGCTTTTGGCTAAGCCTTTACACATGGCCATTATGGAGCATTTAAGATCCAAACCATCATAGGGCATATGGAGGGACTATTTGGCAATGTCAAGGATCCACATATACTTTTGATAAGTTGAAACAAGAACAGTTCAAATACAGTTGTGTGATTTTTCTTGGCAATGTTCTGCTACATGCATGCTAATATGAAGCAGGTGCATAGTTAATTTAGTCATATTCAGGACTATGCCAACAGGTATGACAAACAGAAAGAATAATAAGGATGTTATAAACCTTGAAGAGAAGTGGCTATGTAGTGTAGAACTATGGTATATCACTTAGAAGGTGAGTTCAAGAAAAGAGAGGTAATTTGTTAAAAAGTACCAATGTATTAGTGGGTACTATGAGATTAAGAAGTCAATAAAATGAAGCAAGTTTGAATGAGGATAAGTAGAAAATGTGGCTACTGAGTCAGATGTTTAAATTCATATTTTAGAAATTAAGGTTTCTTAACTTTAGCTACCTATAAAAATCAGCAGAGATTCTGACTTAATTGTCTGGGATAGGGCCCTGGAGTTGTGCTATCCAGGGTAAATATCATTCATTTACAAAAACTCTAGAACACAGATGACTATGGTCCATGAGCATGTATAAAGTACAGGAAATAAAAATCCGTGGCAGTAAGACAAGTTATCACAGTGTTAAAAGTATCTCCCTAGCAGTAGGAGGCAATGTGAAACTTCAAGGGACAGAAAATGATTCATGGGAGCAAAAGATGAAGTAGACACTTCAGGATACTAGATCACTGCCTAGAATCTATGGCAGGTGGGACCACAAAACCTTGCCACCATTCAAGAGGGGGGTAATACTTACCAGGGAATGCCAAAAAAGTATTGCAAAATACACTTGATCTTAGCCAAAAGGCTGAGAAGCAATGAAGTATTATACAATAAAGTTTAAAACTATGCTTAGGGCTGGAGATTTAGCTCAGTGGTTCCACCACCTGCCTCACAAGTGCTAGGTCCTGAGTTCAATCCCCAGTATAAAAACAAAAACAAAAAAACAAAAACAAAACAAAACAAAAAACCCACTATGCTTAAAACTCTGGAACCCAAGTATTCACCTTCCTTGAAGAGACTATCAAGTCTAAGAGGCCATTACTTATATTGTTGATTGTTATTCTCAAATGATATATATATTAGTATTCACTAGGGAATGACTTGAAAAAAAAGATCAGCCTGATTTATCTTTGAAATTATGCCAGGAATGACCAACTAGCTTAAGCAAATCTGCCTTGATGCCCCTACCCTCAAGTTACCTAAAGCCTCGGACTACGGGGCATACTTCCTTCTATTGTCCAGAAAGGATAGGACTCATGATGGATTTTCCATTTTTGTTGCCACTGGCTTACTCTACCAATATATGGTTGTCAATATCTGATAATCCCCCAAACTATAGGTTTATGGGTTTATAAATTTTGCAACTTATCTCAAGACTCTCTACCTATGTTGTTTCCTCTTACTTGATGAATCCAGCCCAGAAGATACACAATGAGCCAGGCATGATAGCCCATGCTGGTAATCCCAGCATTTTTGGAGGCTGAGGCAGGAAAATTACAAATTCAAGCCCAACCTGGGAAATTTAGCAACTTGACCCTGTCTCAAAAAAAATAGTGGAAAACAAGTTAAGGATGTAGCTCCAGTACAAAGGCCCTAGATGGAATTTCCAGTATATACACACAGAGTGCAAAAATTTTCTGATACTGTTTTCCTTCCCATTTAGGATGGCGAGACTTAGTAACTTATTCTACTGAATATTAAAAGGCAGAAGTGATGGAATGTCACTTTTAAAATAGCATTGTAAAAGACTTTCAGTAGGTTATGGACTCCTACTGACAACCATATTTTTCCTGTGAGTCCTATTAATTTTTAAGCACTCTTTGCAGAATGCAAGTACTCAGGGTGGGGGAGAGCACTCATATGATGTCAAAACAGACACACCTGCATTTCCTAATCTGAATTAGAGAAGTGTTTATCTTCAACAGATTAATCCACCATATACCTTCTGTCATAGTACAGTAATACTTACTTTAATTATGTTTGTTATATATTAGTCTGATTTTCCTAGTTAGTTATTTTTAAAGGCAAGAGGGTCAGTTATTAGCTACTCAAAGCCATGGACTGAACCCTTTTTCTTTTTATCTTTTATAATTTATGGTCCATACAATCAAGATGTCACTTGGGAATATATTTTCACAGAAGGACAAGACATAGAAACTATTCTTGTCCACAAAGTCCCACTGAGCACTTTTAATATTTCATAAAACATGTAATTATATTTTATCTTAAATAATTTTTTATTAAAGATTGCAAACATACATGACAACAAGAAATGAAGATACTAAATAAAAATTTCAAATATACATATATATGACAGCAAAAAAGGATATGAAATAAACAAAGATTTATGCAACACAGACTGTAGTCCAAATACATTATTAGTTTGATACGATCTTCAAACACTATATGTTCTTTCTCATTTTCTTTTTGCATAATATTTTTGAAATAATGTATTTATAAACAAAACAAAGCTACATATTATAGTTGAGAAACTGTCCTCAAAATGTATGGTTTATAAACTCCTTGGTTTTATTAATTTGATAAATATTATATGCTTGTTGGTTGTATCACTTATATTTTCTAACAAAACTTCACACAGAAAAGAAATATACTTATATTTTAAATCCAAATACAACTAAAAGAGTTCACATTTTTAAGATCAGATTTTTCTGTTTCTATTTTACTATATCCCATACTTATTTTAATTATATTTTTATAAGTATAATGATAGAATTTAACACCAACACATATGTAATATTCTCACCAAACAAATGACTATGAATTAAATCAAGCATGTAATTTAGAGAAATCATAAGATTGCCAAAGAAACTGTTAACTTTCCAAATGACAAAATCTTACCACATTCATGACCATGTTTCTCATTTAATAGTGCACACATATGTGTAAAAACATACCCCCCACACATATACACAATGCATATTTTCTACAATGCAATATATACTTTGGTATAATAACAGTGATGTGTGGAATGTTTGTGATTTGTGTGATTTGAGAAAAACAAATATCGTCTTTGAGGCAGTTAGAGAATTTGTAATATGTACCAGATTCTGAATGATATCAATGATTTATTATCCATTTATTTAAGTATTTTTATGATAAAATTTACTTAAAGATTATTATTCATTATCAGTAGAAAATAGGTACAAAGATATATTGATAACATAACAACATTTATCTTAACAAATTTCCAACCAAACAAGCTGTAGTGACAGAAAAGGAAGTTTGCAGAAGGCAGAGATGAGAGAAGATGGACTTCAATACTTTTCATACTACTCATGTATACAGATTTCATAAATTCTCAATAAAAAAGTAAAGAAAATGAGAACCAAAATAATTCATCAATTTGGTAGACTAACATATAAAGACAAAGATTAATGTTTTGATAAATTTTTAAAATATGAAATGTAAAGCCTGAGATTTAGCTCAGTAGTGCTGCACCTGCCTAGCCAGAGCAATGTGCTGAGTTTAATCTCCAGCGCCAGGGGAAGAAAAAGAAAAAAGAAAAAAAAAAAGGAAAGAAAAGAGAAAAGGACCACATGTGCTTTCTAACATACTCAATAGATTGAAAATAAATTGTTATCTCTTCCTCTTGAATTGTTCCCTTCACAAGGATGTAGAGGCCTTCTTTGTCTCTTTCAATCAGTTTAGGTTTGAAATTTACTTTGTCTGTGAATAAGATTGCTACCCCTGCTTTTTTCTGGGCTCCTTTTGCATGAAGAATTTTTCTGTCTTTTCACTTTCAGTCTATGGGCTTCTTTTTGCACTAAGTGTGTCTTGTATACAACATATTATAGGATTTTGCTTCTTAATCCATTCTGCCAGTCTATTTCTCTTGATTGGTGAATTGAGGCCATTGATATTGATGGTTATAACTGATATGTACTAACTCATTCTTGTCATTTTTTTTTCACCTTCTCCTTTTAGTTTCTTTCCTTGCCTATTTGATTTGCTCTGTTGGGCCTCATTGTGTTGTTACCTTCATTGTTGTTTTCTAGGATATTGTTTGGAATTCCTTGTAGTGCTGGTTTGATATTTGTGAAGGTGTTCTTTGTCATGGAAGTATCTTATCCATTTTGAAAGAAAGTTTTGCAGTATAGGTCAGTCTAGGTTGGAGGTTGTTTTGTTTTAGTACTTGAAATACCTCACTCCAGGCTCTCCTTGACCTGAGGTTTTGTGTTGAAAAGTCTACTGTGATTCTGATGGGCTTTCCTTTGCATGTGATTTGTTTCTTTTCTCTTATTGCTTGTAGTATTTTGTTCTTCTGTTGGGTTTCTGGGATCCTGATTATTATATGTCTAGGTGTAGATTTTTTTTTTTTTTATTGTGGCTAGTTGGAGTCCTATATGCCTCACGTATCTGTATGTCAAATTCTTCCCCTCTGTTTGGGAAGTTTTCTATAATTAATTCTGTGAACAGCTTGTTTAAGTCATTTGCATTTTCTCCTGCTACTTGGATTCCTATCAGTCTCGTGTTATTCTTCCTTGCATCATCTAAGAGTTGTTGGATCAATTTCTCATGATCCCCTACTGTTTTTAAGAGACCTCTCTTTGCATGGTCACTGACTGCAATTTTATCTTCTATATCTGAGATTCTATCTTTGGACTCTTTTATTCTATTGCGAACAATCTCAATGGAGTTTTTAATCTCCTGGATATCGGCTCGAATCTTGCCTGTGGATTCCATTTCTTTCTTATATTGGGCATTTATTGTTTCCAATTCTTTCTTATGCTGGGCATTCATGGCTTCTATCGTGGTCTTGAGCTCATCTACTTTCCTCTCAGTTTCT